CTGGTCCAGGCTGGGGAAAGATCTACCCAGGAGCCTGGACTGACACGTGGCTCAGTCTCTCAGCAAGCCACTGGGAGGCTGAGCCAGCCACTCCCACCCCCAGCCAGCAGTTCTCCCCCTTAAAGCCAGTGGGAGACAGATGCAGCATCGGATCGATGCTGTATCCACCTAGGTACAGTTGCAAGAAAAAGAATGTGAACCCCTTGGGATTACGTGGAGTTTTGCATGAATTGGGCATAAAATGTGCTCTGAACGTCATCTAAGTCACAACAATAGAAGAACACAGTCTGCTGAACATAATACTACACAAACATTAGATGTTGCCATGGTTTAATTGCACATAACATGTAAACATTCACAGTGCAGGGAGGAAAAAATATGTGAGGCCCTAGCTTAATGACTTCTCCCAGAGCTAATTGGAGCCAGGAGTGAGCCAACCTTGACTCCAATCAGTGTGATGATATTGGATGTGTTGCTGACAGCTGTCCTGCCCTTAAAAAAACACACACCTGTTTTGGGTTTACTGGTTTCAAGAAGCACTGTCTGATGTGAACCATGCCTCGCAGAAAAGAGCTCTCAGAAGACCTACGATCAAGAATTGTTGACTTTCATGAAGCTGGAAAGGGTTACAAAAGTATCTCCAAAAGCCTTGATGTTCATGTGTCCACGGTAACACAGACTGTCTACAAATGGAGAAAGTTTAGCACTGTTGCTACTCTCCCTAGGCGTGGTCGTCCTGTAAAAATGACTGCAAGAGCACAGCGCAGAATGCTGCATGAGGTAAAGAAGAATCCCAGAGTGTCAGCTAAAGACCTACAGAAATCTCTGGCACATGCTAACATTTTTGTTGACACATCTACAATAAGGAAAACATTAAACAAGAATGGAGTACATGGGAGGACACCACGGAGGAAGCCATTGCTGTCCAAAAAGAATATTGCAGCACGTTTGAAGTTTGCAAAAGAGCACCTGGATGTTCCACAGCACTACTGGCAAAATATACTGTGGACAGATGAAACCAAGATTGAGTTGTTTGGGAAGAACACACAACACTATGTGTGGAGAAAAAAAGGCACAGCACACCAACATCAAAACCTCATCCCCACTGTAAAACATGGCGGAGGGAGCATCATGGTTTGGGGCTGCTTTGCTGCCTCAGGGCCTGGACGGATTGTTGTCATTGATGGGAAAATGAATTCCAGAGTTTATCAAGACATTTTGCAGTAAAACGTACGACCATCTGTCCGCCAACTGAAGCTCCGCAGAGGATGGGTGATGAAACAGGACAATGACCCAAAGCATACAAGTAATTCAACAAAACAATGGCTGCAACAGCACAGAATACGCCTTCTGGAGTGGCCCAGTCAGAGTGCTGACCGCAACCAGATTGAAATGCTGTGGCATGACCTTAAGAGAGCCATTCACACCAGACATCCCAAGAATATTGCTACACTGAAACAGTTTTGTGAAGAGGAGTGGTCCAAAATGACTCCAGATCGTTGTGCAGGTCTGATCTGCAACTACAGGAAACGTTTGGTTGAGGTTATTGCTGCCAAAGGAGGGTCAACCAGTTATTAAGTCCAAAGGTTCACATACTTTTTCCTCCCTGCACTGTGAATGTTTACATGTTATGTGCAATTAAACCATGGCAACATCTAATGTTTGTGTAGTATTATGTTCAGCAGACTGTGTTCGTCTATTGTTGTGACTTGGATGACGTTCAGAGCACATTTTATGCCCAATTCATGCAAAACTCCACATAATCCCAAGGGGTTCACATACTTTTTCTTGCAACTATAAATAGGATTAAAAAAAAAAAAAAAAAAACACACACACACACACACACAACATACTTCTCTCACTGATATAGATAATGTAACAATCTGAGCAATCAAAAATATAAAAAAAAATTCAGTTTTATGATAAAAGAGGGCAACATGAAACTAGTACAATATTTGACACGGTTTTTGATAAATCAACTCATATTTGGTTCAATGGATGTAGTAGCAATTCTCAATGAATTCTCAGGCTCCACGCACACTAGCGTTTTTTTTTTAAGCTCCTAGAAGCTGTTATCAGCATTTTTTTTTCTCCTAGCTAAAAATAGTGTTATTCTAGTGTTATCCATGCCCACTATAATAGGCTAGTAGGGTTTTTTTCAAGCTTCAGTATTTAGGAGCATAAAAAAAATAGTTTTGTAGAGTTTTTGGGAACGTTTTTCCAGCAGAAAAAAATGCTAAACGCTCCTGAATGTTACAAAACTGCTCCCAGCAGCTTTTTATTCCCATACATGTATTGTAAAAACACTAATAAAACACTGATGCTCCTAAACATTAGTAAAAAAATGCTATTACTAGCATTTATCCAGCATTTTTTGAGCTTCAAAAAACAAACAACAACCACTAGTGTGCATGGAGCCTCAAGGTGCTCAACAGTAGTCATCCTGGGCCGCAGGTTGGACACCTCTAAATTAAACTGTATATCACTAAGCAAATGGTGTTGCTACTGCAATGAGTTCCTGGAAAATGTTACACAACAACTTCTAAACAGTGCCAATTCCCACGAGGCTGTCTTTGTTATCCTAAGGATGCTAACCTATATAATGTCCTATTACATTATACCACACGCATACATACACAAAACAGAACCCTATTTACTTTTTTCTTTTTAGGACAAAGATCTCACAGTTACCGCTGACACAGACTGTAAATGTGAGGCAAGTGATTCTCACGGCTACTGAAGTTCTATAAGTGCACCAACCACAAATACAGCAGTTAAAGCCTAGGGCAGCTCTAGAGCGGTTTCATCACAACGAATATAGACTTTCCATTCACTTTAGAACACCAACTGATGCCACCAACAGAATTTATTCTCATTTTGCTTACAAAACAGAAAATTGGGAAAATTGATTACAACGTAGATAGTACAAAGACTATTAGCATAAAAATGCTCCAGTTGCAGCGCAAAAACCATATATAAATTTTGAAAAAATCCAGTACAGGTAATATAGGTAATTTTTTGACATTAGAAAGCCTTACTGCCAAGTGATTTCAACCTTGATGACTCCCACTACTGTTCACATTTTTGAGGAGACTGTTCAAAGCTAAACACTCACAAAGACATATTAAAAAGTATAAAACTACCATATTTTCCGGCGTATAAGGCGTGTGTATAAGATGACCCCCTAATTTTCCAGTTAAAACATAGGTTTTGGGCTATACTCGCCGTATAAGACTACCCCCCTTCCGAGGCAACACCATTTAAAAACATCAGATTTTTTAATTGAAACGGTTATGACTTACCGGTACTTAAAATCCTTCAAAATCCTCATGTTCATCCTCTGACATCATAAATTCATGAATGACATCTTGTGATACATTTGTAAGACAGTCATCATATGGATCAAATTCCAAATCAGATGGTTACCGCTGCGGATGTGCGGTAATACGGTAGCTTCGGCTACATACAGTATACAGTATATATACAGCCCGCTGGATGTGCAGTAATGTACATACAGTATACCGCGCTGAGCCAAGCTGGGCTCAAAACAAATGTCCCTATGATTAATCTGTCAGCCTGCTGGATGTGCGGTAATACGGTAGGTTCGGCTACATACAGTGTATATATTACAGCCCGCTGGATGTGCAGTAATGTACATACAGTATACCGCGCTGAGCCAAGCTGGCTCAAAACAAATGTCCCTATGATAGATTAATCTGTCAGCCTGCTGGATGTGTGGTATATACAGTATACTGAGTATATACCACTGTGGTTATATACAGTATACTGAGCCAAGCTGTTTCAAAACGTACCGGTACGTCCCTACGGTAATCAGACCGCTGGATGTGTGTATGTACAGTAGCTGAGGCTACATACAGTATACGCTGGGCCAATCACGGCGAGCGATGTATTCTACTAATGAATACAAAGCCTGTTCGGATTGGCTGAGGTTGTGACATCATCAGCCCACCTCTCTGACTCAGCCAATCCGAGCAGGCTTTGTATTCATTAGTAGAATACATCACTCGCCGTGATTGGCCCAGTGTATACTGTATGTAGCCGCAGCTACCATACATACACACATCCAGCGGGCTGATTACAGTAGGGACGTACCGGTACGTTTTGGAACCGCTTGGCTCAGCGCAGTATACTGTATATACCGCACATCCAGCGGGCTGACAGATTAATCTATCATAGGGACATTTGTTTTGAGCCAGCTTGGCTCAGCACGGTATACAGTATATACAGTATTACCACACATCCAGCCAGCTTGACCCAAACTCAAGGTTCACATTTTATACCCCGCGTATAAGATGACCCCCCATTTTTGGGGTATATTTTTAAGTATAAAAAGTAGTCTTATACGCCAGAAAATACTGTAATCAACCTGCAAATAATTGCCTTGCCCCATAGAATTTATGAAAAACATTGGTAATTTTAGATACGTACCCAGATGTAGCCATGCTGTGCTTTCTCATGATCAACCAATAATGTTATGTGGGTTAAGGGGTGAACAATGAGGGGCAAGCAAAATTATTTCACACTGGGGAATGTTCACAATATGTACTTTATCAAACATTGTACATAAATATCACTAATATGGCAGATCATTACATTGCAAAAATAGCTTTGCCATTTAACCACTAGTCTACAGGGCACCTATACCCCCTTCCTGCCCAGGCCAGTTTTCAGCTTTCAGTGCTGTCACACTTTGAATGACAATTGCGCAGTCATGCAACACTGTACCCATATTAAATTTTTATCATTTTTTTGAGACAGTTTTTTTTTTTGGTGGTATTTAATCACCTCTGGGTTTTTTATTTTTGCTAAACAAACCAGAAACAACTGAAAATTTTGAAAAAAAAAAAAAAAGTTTTTTCTTAGTTTTTGTTATAACATTTTGTAAGTAAGTGATTTTTCTCCTTCCCTGATGTGCGGTAATGAGGCTGCAGTGATGGGCACTGATAGGCTGCAGTGATGGGCACTGATGAGGAGGCACTAGTAGGTGGCACTGATGGGCATTGACAGTCATCACTGATGGGCACTGAAAGGCAGCACTCATATATGGCACTGATAGGTGGCACTGACAGGCACTGATATGTGGCACTGACGGGCACTGATAGGCGGCACTGACAGGTGACACTGAAAGGCAGCTCAGATGGGCACTGATATGTGGCATTGATGTGCACTGGTAGGCACTGATATGTGGCATTGATGGGCACTGGCAGTGCCCTGATGATCAGTGTACAGGTCCCCTCCGAGGAATGCCGATTACCGGATCTCCTCTCCTCTCGAGCTGTCAGCGTAACAGCTCGTGAGGAGAGAAATGCCGATAAACGGGATTTCCCTATTTACATGTGATCAGCTGTGATTGGACACAGCTGATCACATGACCGAGCTGACATCTCGGCTCTTTCCGTTGATCGGTGATCCACTGTGTTCCAGGGACACAGCCCACCACCGATCGCTGTGCAAGCTCTGTTAGAGTGGGAGGATGTCATATGACGTCCTCCCAGAATGAGAGAACAGCCTTGCGCACGTCATTAGGCAAGAAGCGGTTAAGAATGTACTAGGTACAATGAAATGCATATTAAAAACAACAGTCGAAAAGTGGCTATAGATGGAAGAGAATTCTTGCCTAAGGTAGGGCATAGATGATTTTATTTTTTTCCTGTAACTACGATTCCCCCATCAACAGTCAGTGCTGATGTGGGAATCCCTCCCGCAGAGCTATTGTATTCTCCCATCAGGGGGGCAACACAATGATTATTGCCATCAGCTATACCCACTGGCAATACTCGTAAACTAAAAATCTGACATGCTGGCTGTTGACTTGGGTACAATTAGCCTGCCCATAGATGGCTCGAATCTCAGCTGGTCCCTGCTGAACCAGACGAGATTCGATCCATATATGACTGGTTTAAGATAAAGTCAAGTAATATAATACATTTTTTTTGCAAGAAACATTTTCAGTGGCTGAATCATGCATAGGGAGTTAGCTGTTGACTGGTGTTGGTAGGCAGAGTCCTGATAATAGTAGTCATCCAATCTGGTCAGTTTCAAATCCATTATTGACCACTGAGGCCCTAAATGTTGCAATGCTGTACCGACTACCAGGTATAGCTTGCAGAATGTATGCACTATGAGCGGAAACCTAAGTTGGCCATATACCGGTAGATTTTCAAACAAACGTTCACATGAAAAAAATCTCTAATACATTTGACAACGCCAACAGAGATTTGATGAATGTCTTTCAAAAGTACTACAAATTTTGTTTGTTTTTAACATTTGATTTCGGTGTGAATTACATTTTCTGAACTAAAACAACATAAACTTTCAAAAATTTGTTCAAGAAAAAGTTTCCATCCTGCTCTTTTGAGTTTTCTCATCACTACGGTCTACTAGTATATGGCTCCTCAAAATCTTTCACTGGTCTGTCCCTGATCCAGTGGGGTATCCTTTACCAAATCACAAAGCCCACTGTCAAAAAGTTCATAGTCAGGCCCTCATGTGCTTTGCAGTCCCAAATAGATGTCTAGAGTGCACAGCCAGCAACAGAGGAAAACAGACATTGCAGTGACATTTTTTTTTTTCCCTTTCTTCTTTCCTAAGGGAATAGTATATCAAACTTCAAGAACACAATTTTAATTCACAAAAGTTTAGTGTAAATTACACTGGAATGAACGAAACACATGTTGAAGTTTACAATATGTGCCAACAATATGGTGGCTGAAGCTATACCGCCTCTACAGTTAAAAGTCACCTCAAAAACGGATAACAAATTGAAGTTGACATGCACTCAATGGTCTTGCCTAAAGGGATAATTATGTGTACTTCCACACCACATTTCTCAGCTCAGAAATCTCTGAATTCTGAATGACTACTGGACTGCTAGAAACATTTCTCAAGCAAATTCCAGTTGTAAAGAAGTCATTTTAACAACCCTGTACTGTGTTATATTGTCTACGCACTATATAATTTGTGTCAAAGGAATAGTGAGGGAGCAGCATGCAAACAAGATACGAATTACAACCTGTTGTTAGGGCATTAGTAAACAATGCTCATGGCTAAAAATATAGGCTGCCTCATTTTCTCTTCAATAGGTCGACCTCCGGTAACACCATAAAAATAGTGGATTTGAATCTCAGGTCTGTGCTGCCACTTCTGGACCTTTGAAAAGGCAAAACATTGCCCCTATTGTTAACTTAATGAGCAGATGGCAGCAGTTTATTCAGAATCTGATAACTGTGCAGTGCAATAAGCACAGGCAACTCTGGGTATGCACTTGGATTTTTATTGGTGCAAATGTGTGTCAGAAAGGACTTCCTGTATTATCCCTTGTCTGCTCTAGAAGATCAGCATGTTCATGGACCACTTAGATCTGACTCCAAGTATGGACATATTGTTTAAAGATTAGACGGATTTACGCCAAAGCAATGTATGCTAATCCACCTTAAACCAAAATCTGTATTCTAGGGTAACATTAGATGAGGACAATATTAGATTGGGTTCTTTGGAAATATACTCACTTTTTTAGCCCTGGACATAAAAGGAGATATTGGGTTTAGTACTCAAGAGCACATTGAATTTCCAGCATATTACAAATATTTGTGTGCATACATGTACACTTGTTGTACAGTTGCCATCATTTTGCCTTTCTTTTGTGCTTTGCCTTTGTAAGGCACAACACAGTCAAGTCATATCAGTATAACTGAAGTCCTTCTGTTCCCATATAGGCACAGTATGACCTTCTGATCTTATTTTTGGCATTCTGATCTCAACAATACAAATACTGTTCCCTGGAAAAAAAATATTCTATTTATTTCCAGTATGAGCAATTAGTGCCTTATGAGGATCCTGTGTTTTTTCTTTTTCATTCACCAATAATATTTAAAATAAATTCATCCTTATAGCATTAAAATGTAAATAGCCCCTGGCTACCTCAAAGATTAAAAAAGTTACCCGAATATGTAAATATTTCATGTTATCTTTTTCACTTGTCATACAAATAAGAATTCATATGCTGACCAAACTATGCATAACTGCTAACGGCAATTTCAGACAATATACAAGTGATTGTGGTAGATGTTAGTTATATCTAAATCCGTGGGAAAGTTTTGTCCGGCCATGACTAAAGCTGGGTATAGACTAGTACAGGGCTTGACAAATTTGCTTTGAATCTAGGAGCCAGCTAAAAGTTAGGAATCAGTTTTTATTTTTAGCTTAGCGTGGGTTGTTAGCACCCGGGGCAAGGCAACTTTTGAGCAACAAGCTTCACACAATGTGATTTTCCGCTTGATAATCATGGCAAAACCGCACCAAGTTTTAGGTGCCATTGAAAATATTGGCACCTGAGCCTGCGTTTTGCAATCACAGCGATTCTGCTACTATCCCAAAATGTCCAGGTATGAATGGAGACACCTTGGTGCACACATATGTGATTCTAGATAAATTTCAAACTCACAGATTCGCATGACATGCTAAATATTATGTGTTCACACAGATGCGATCCACAGGCATTGTGTTTTGAGTGTCATTACAAAAAGGGTACTGTGTAAGTTTGTAGTGGTGGGGAGATAAGTGTTCACATAGGATTGCTATTGCCACGAACCTTTGCACTGAAGCTAATGGGAGAAGTTTTTGCACTGAAGTCAATGGAATGCGATTTTGAATTGAAGTCAACAGGAGACATTTTTTGCATTGAAGCCAATAAGACACAATTTTGCATTGAAGTCAATAGCAGGCAGTGTGTGAACCCAGGCACCAGGACGCAATTTCTAGTCGCCATGGCAACCCGGAACCTGGGATATGTTGAGCCCTGGACCAGTAGATTTCATTTTCTAATCGCTAATGGGGTCAGATAATTGTGTGTTTTCAACCGCAGTGACGAGAAATGTAGAAGGAGCAGGATGGAAAATGCTTCCCAAAATGAACAAATTTCTAACAGGGAATGTGGTTTTCATTTGGTAAAGTCCATTCACTCCAAAATCAAGCATTAAATCATGTGTAAACCCTCAACTTGTAAATCAACCCATTTCGATAGAAATGAAAGGCAAACCATTTGTGTATAGATATAAAAAAACAAAAACAAAACATAAATACCTTTTTTATAAGTGATCACATACCCTCTAAGCTCCTTATGTAGCTGAGAACATAGAGCTGGGAGAGGAGAAACAGCAATACACTGAGCTTCCCAGTGAAAGGGGGTGTACGGGGGGGCAGGACAAGTTTGATCATTGGAGAAGAGCACACAGAGTTCTTTGGATAGCTAGAGAACTGACCAAACTGTGCTCTCATGCCTAGTGTGATCAGTTTTTAACCAGGGACTAGCAGGAACACTGGGGATTTCACACAAACAATACAAAGAGAACAGGACACTTTTTTATATACAAGTACATGGTGCAGCAGATGAAATGTAGGGCTTACATACTAATTTCAGTTTAACAATCGGGCAAATTCTGGTGGTTGCTTTCACCAAAAGTGGAAGAAAATCCACAATTTTGGGTGGTCACAAGAAGAGGAACAGAGAAGAAATTCTCCTACATTAGTTCTGGTGACCCTGGTGATTACAAAAGATTTCCCTCAGGTTGGAGGAATTTTCTCTCTTCCTGTTTGGCTATAGGACTGGAAGTGAAGAGAATTTCCCCAATTGGACACAGATGGCAGAGAAAAAAAAAATATCAGCAGAGGTTATAATCCCTCCCCCTATCCTATTCAAAAAGAAACAAAAATGTGTTGCCCATAGTTCTACATTAAAACACAAAGGGGGTATTTGTATAGCAGCTAAATTACAACATGTTATACATTGGAATTACAGTTAATATAAAATGCTTTGCACAGTTATTTTTATGGACTTTCCATCATTAGTTATTCCATATCCTATCCTTATGGACAATGGCAATATTCTCTGACCGATAGCCCACAACTTCCTAATTGTTTGCGCAGAAAAGTGAAAGCCTATACTCCTTATACTCGAGGTCAGCCATTCTCATAACTTCCTTCCCGAAGGCCAATGTGTGCCACAGAATACCATGCTCAAACACATTCTCATAACAAGTTAGCAACCCCAAAGGATAAGAACATGTACTAAATATCCTCAAAAGCATTTACTTTGATCACCTCCAAAAAGAACTGCATGCCAGATATGGGCAGCTGAATTCAGGCTATGTCTCATAGTACTGCATGCACATGTATTTAAATAAAGCTGCCCATCTCTTAGAATTCATTGATTATTTTGTCATAAAATACTTTTATTGAAGGTGACAGACACCTGGTTCATACCTAGGTGAATGTGGTAACTGTGCGGTTGCTGTTATTTTGAACAGTTACAATATTTAATAAAGTTAGGTAACAATGGAGGTTGAATTCATTATGCAGTAAAAACATATGATAATGCTCAATATCAGTTTGTCACCATTCATTCCTTTGG